TAGGCAGTAGAGTCAGTAGTCCCGTAGCTGTTAGTTTAGACTAGAGCAGTAGATCGATTTGGAGGCAGACTGTCAGCTTCAGGGCCTTTGAGTACAGGCCGGCAGGCATACTGCCTGTAAGAGAAGCTGGATGATGCTTCCCGTAATTTCTCCGCGGGACAAGGCCCGCTTTGTCTGATTCTTCTTTTCTGGCCATTAATCCTCGCAATCTATGGTCAGAAATTGAGAGTTCAGGTAAGCCCGAGTTGGCTGCGGGATGCAATGTTGAGATCCCAGGCCTCAAATTTAGCGAAGTAATGAAATTTGACTTTTTTTAGGGGAAGAGAAAAAAAGAAATTGGCAAATTGCCTTTTTTGGGGGGGGGTTGGGGGGGGGAGGGAGGGGAGAATTTACAAAATACCCCCATAAGTTGAGATCTATTTCCAAAATGCCCCAGTACTTGCCAACTTCTCCTAGGCACTATTGCAAAATGCCAAGATTCAGTCTGGGGGTGGGATGCTAGATTGAGATGGCCAGTTAATCCCCTTGGTTGAGGGCAATCAATGCTGATCATCGAAGTGATAAAGTGCGCCAGAGTGATTCGGATTAGGTGTGCTTTCAGGTGTAAATTAGGATGGACACGTGGCACGGTTTCATAACCTTTGTTTACAAATGCCCCTTCCTAAAATGTTGAGGGAAGCTGGACCCGCTTTCCAGCAGGTGCTGCTCCCCACCAACCTCCCTGAGTTTGCTTTAAAAAAAAATAAAAAATAAAAATAATAATAATAAAATGCCAAGGCCCAAACCGGGAGGTCCAGATTGCAAAGGAGCACATCCGCCTGACACGGGCACAACTTTAAGCCCAGATACGGCGATAATTATCGGGCGTTCTGTTCAGGTGCAGAAGGTAGTGGTCAGAAAAGTATAGGAATGAGAACTGTTCGTGTGTGTGTCACTCGTCTTTTCAGCCGCAGATAGCAAAGAGATCACACAGTCCTAATTTTGTTGCCGTTGAAATAGTAGGAAAATGCGACACTCTCCACCCAAACGCAGGACCCCAGAGTATGTTTCTGAATAGCTGCGCATCTGAGTTGCAGTGGATACGATTTTCAGATACCAAACAGCTCATCTTCACTCGCCATCTTTGGGAAGAGAAGGAGGACATGATCCTCCCCTAGGATCCCGATTCGGAAACTCTTTTCATTTTTCTAATTTGTTTTTTTTTTTTTGAACAACCGGGAGGCCCGGTGTCCCTTATATTTCAGTGCCAGAAATTGGGCCTGGCATCCCTGACAAAAAGTTCCGCAGTCCTGATTTAGGGCGAGACATCACCGGTCAAGCCCAAAAACTGGACCGCCACACACCACAAACCCTATGCACAAAAATACCACC